TCATCTTCATCCAGAGAGGGGCTAATCATTTAGGAAGATATAGCTTTGCTTCTCTTTTTCTTTCTTGACGCACTTGTCCACTGTTGATCTTCAGGCAAGTTAGGATGGACCCACATTATCTCTCCTTTTGGAATGGTAAGGGGTACCAATCCTTTATCTTCTTGACCATGTGGGTCAGTGTTTGTTAGGTACAACTCTCCCTTGTGAATAGGGACGATGTCGTTGGGAGTCAACACAGGCAAAAAATTCCCGAACTGGATCGATATCATGTTGGTAGATACGGTCTTTTATTCCGGCTTCAGCTTGAGCACTTCGACGTCAACCAATGCCTGCAAGATATCTTTAAAGATATAACATCTCTTTGTTAGATGCCTAAGCATTCTGTGATAGAGGCAATAGTTAATTAGGATCATCTACTTTTCCCACTTCTTTAGGTCTCTTTATTTCAGGAAGCTTTAATTTATTGTTCTTCTGAAGTAGCTTGAACAAGGTGATCACATGATCCTCTTTGAAAGAGTATTGTTTGGCTACTCTTGGTTGACTCGATGCCTTGCCCTGCTTAGCAGGTGGCGCTCGAATATTAGTATCAGTGGCCAGAGTATCTTTCCATTTGATCGGGAAGCATTACATTGGCCACGTTGCACCAGTTGTTTTTATTTGTTTGTCTCTTCAGCTTTAATCCGGGCAACAATTTCTTTTTCCTATTCCCCTTGGACGATCAGCTGTATCCAAGAATGACACTCTGCGACTCCCATTTGGGCTAGAAGGTTGGTCTGCAAATTATGTCGACAGGTTTCCACCAGAGTAGCCTGTGTCATACCCGATGGACATCGAAAAGCTATGCTTCGAAATCTCTCAACAAAAGTTTTGATAGACTCTCATTTCTTCTGCTTAGTGGAAAGAAGGGAAGGGACGGAGACTTCCATATCATCTTCGAAGAATCTGGCCAGGAATAGTCTCAATCTGCCCACTTCTGATTAGATCCCGCTAGGAGTTTCATGAACCAAAGGCAACCCTCTTGAGGGTACCAATGAACAAAGAGCCAATATGAGGTTGTTTGATATCACATTCCTAGTCTATGACTTGAAATAGTGTATATGTAGTTTGACGACCCCGTGTCATCGAAAGCTTGCAAAGTCGGGGCTTTAAATTTTGGAGGATAAAGAGCTTCATCTCATTCGGCGGGATAATGTCTCACAACTCCTTCCTCTTGGAGCTCACTTCTGTTAGCAATGACATTGAGGCGGGCTTTTAATTCTTCCATTTTGGCCGGCTGAGGATTCTTCTCATTCTCGGCTTCTTTTCTTCTTCAGAGGAAGATTCAATATGATGAGCTTCTTGCTCAGAGGTTTCGACCACTTTTTCCTTCCCTTTTGATGAAGATGATCCTCCTATTTGGGAAGATTCGTGCCGGTGTGGCGAATCTGCTTTTGAAGACTTGCTCCTGTCTACAACAATCTGAGTCATCAAGATCCGGAGTTTATTGATAGTCTCTTGCTGCGACCTGAGCATGGCTTGCTGTTCATCAAGTCTCTTCGTGAGATCTTCGTGGTTTCCTGCCATATAAGCGGAGGTCTCATGTTCTACATAAGAACTAGAGGATTGAGATTCTGCAATAGCTGAACGCTTATCATCGGAATTAGTTCTTCTGCTAATCTTCGATAATCGACAAGAGGTATGACTCCCCTCTGAGTCCGAGTATTTTGATAGATTCCTTCAAAGTCACTCAGGATCTCTTTGAAATTTGGAGACCGGTTTGTCTCTGACTCATCAGAACTAGGGATTAATGATTTTCCTTTACCGATCATATTGACGGTGACCCCAGAGTATTCATTCTTCTGAGTTCTTTTCTTGTGGAAACATCATCACTTATTGGGTAAGACCACACTTGTTAATTGGTCGAACACAGACCGTCTTGGTGTAGGCGCACAAACTGGCATGCTGAGAGGACCACAGAAATCAGTCGTTCACATTGGCATGACTGAGCGACTTCTTGTATCAGTCTTTCTCTCGATAAAAATTCTCTTAAATCTGACAGGTACTTGAGAAGAATTACTCACTGAATATAGACTTGAGTTGGAACCCCCTGCCTATGATTGGACGTGACTGGCTCCTAATGAACATGGATCGTAAACCTCTGTTGGTCTCTCTGAACACGATGGATCACATCGTGTTTTGTGCTAAGAACGTGAGGGTCGTGTTTGGGAATGGGAACGCGAAGGTCGTGTTCAGGAAGGTGAACACGAGGGTCGCGTTTAGCTTGAGAAAAGCGAAGGTCGCGTTTTAATTGATCAACGTGGGCTTGAGGTTCGTGTTCTGTTCGTGAAACGCTCTCTTGAAGATCACGTTTTGGTTGAGCAACACGAGCCTGAAGTCCGTGTTCTATTTGTGAAACGCTCTCTTGAGGGTCGTGTTTTGTTTGAGCAATGCGGGCCTGAGATTCGTGTTTTGATTGTTCAGCACACCACTGAGGGCCGCGTTCAGTCTGGTTCACGTGAAGCTCATGTTTGGGCTCATAAACACGATGCTCGTGTTCTAAAGTAGAAACACGGAGCTCAGGGTCGCGTTTAGTCTCACAAACGTGAAGCTCGCGTTGATTGAAGGTTCGGCTTTTCCTAGAGTTGTGCTTGTTGTAGGAATCTCCTCCTTCGTCGAGCGACATTCTTCTTAGCCTATTTTAAGGCTTGTGCAGCGACGTCACTATCTGTAGTGATCAAGTTAGTCGCATCAATGGGCCTCTTGTAACTCGATACCCGTTGTTTAGACACAGATGTAAAATCTTCAACTTGATTGACTAGTTTATCTGAACCCGAATCTTCTCCTTCAGAGGAGGGGCTGTCCGAGCAGTCTAGCCCAAGGGAGAGATCCTCCTTTGGTGAGTCGGGCACAATTGAAGCTTTAATCTCTTTGGAGATTTTGCGGATCTTACTCATAGCCTTTGGGTTAAGAGATTTGGAGGAGAGTAACTCCTCATACTTGGCTTGATTGAACTCTACCGCAAGAGTTTCAACCATGGAACATGGTCTATTCCCCTTGACTTGATGTTGGGAAGAACTTGCAATGCAAGGTTAGAACTCTAAATGAGTTTGAGAACTCTAAACGAGTTTATAAACTCTGGACAAGTTAGTTTCAGAAAGGAAATTAATTCTTTTTAATTAAAATCAGAGATCAAACTGATCTTTCAATTCTTCAACCAAGAACGGTTCAAAAGCCAAGGCAAAAGCTCTCCAAAAAGCCTTAAAGATGATCTTCAAAGCTCTCCTAAAAGATCCGATCCAAAAGCCCTTTTCTTCCTCCCCCTTTTTAAGCTGATTTTTCAGCTATTTATAGGGGTTTAAAGGGTGTAACTGACTCCTTAAACCGCTCATTTATGAGGATTAATGACCTTAATTCATGGAAAACGGTTTTAGAACCATTTAAAATGTGTTTGAATCAGTCAAACGCGGGATTCACGTTTTGGAAACGACCCTCGTGTTTAGAACTGAAAACACGGTAGTGAGCTCCCCGTTTTGATCTTGGAACGCGGTGGTGAACTCCGCATTTTGAACTTGGAACGCGGTGGTGAGCTCCACGTTTTGAGCTTGGAACGCGGTGATGACTTCCGCGTGTTGCTTTGAAGAGATCATCAACTTGTAATCTCTTCTGTTAGAGTGTTGCAAGGATTGTCATATTGTAATCATGGCCTTTGATTCTTTGAGATGTGAGAGTCGTCAGTTTGCAACTCTCGTTTGTTGCTGCGAAAGTTGTCAGATTGTAACTTCCATCATCAATTGTTGTGAGAATCGTCAAATTGTAACTCTCATTGATTGATATGAAAGTCATTAGATCGTGACCTCCATCATTTGTGTTTTGTGGGGATTAGCTATCTGCAATTATTTTTAGACAGCCTACACTTGCTCATATTTTTTCTGGTTAGAATTTGGTATGCAAACATTGCGTTTCATAGATGTTTATGGTCTGGTATGTTTACTTAGTGGTTGGATGTTGAATCTGACAATATTTATTTGGATCAATAAGTTTTCTACTGGTATTGCCCATTGTTTTGAAGCGCTCATGGTTTTGAAACCTAACTGGTTTTGTTTCTTGTAGTTGACTCAACTACTCAGTCTCCATTACGTACATGTTTGGTATTTTCAGGTTTGATGCGATTTTCCATGTCATATACATATTTATGACTAATTAGATTGTTTATAGATTTTTTACAGGTTTCAAAAGAATTTTTTACTAATTCAGGTATGTTTTTCATAAAATTATGAATAATCAAGTTATTACAGCTTTTGTTTGTTTTTTCATGTCAAACAGGTTTCGTGTGATTTTTTCATGTCAAACAGGTACGTAGTTCATAACAATTAATCATGTTATTTCAGGTTTCTTATGATTTTTTTATGTCAAACAAATATTTATAGTGAATTCAGTATTTACTATTTTTTCATGTTACATTCGCACTTTTATTTTGCTAATATTACCTCTCATAACGATCACAAATAAATTCGTTTTTAGTAGGGGTAAACTTACCATGGTGACCGTATATACTTTTCTCTACACACTTCAATACCAATCAAACACAATAATTTTTTTAGAAAGTTTAAAAAAACAGAAAACTTGAGTTTCAACCAAACAGCCCCTTAACAAAACATAATCCGTCTTTTGGTCGCAATAGGAAAGATTCAAAGAACCTTCACCTAGTCTGTACTCCGACCTTTTTTCCTACTCCCACTCAGCACAAATCCTAATCCACAGAATAATCGACGGCTAGGATTAACCCCTTTCCGTGATCAGAAACTTACAATCGTAACAAACATATCCAAGGGTATAGGGTTTATAACCCCACTCCGATCCCAACCCTCGAACTCCTCTTTCATCCGCGTGAGAAAAGAAATTGAAAAAAAAAAAAGAAAAAAACGGAAAATAAATTAAAAATCTCCCGGATATATCGCCGCCTCTAAACCCTAGGATCTCGAATCCCGTCATGGCCGCCGAGGGTTTAACGAAACCGTCCTCGAACTTTCATCTCGAAACCCTAAATCCTTCGAGCTCGCAGCCGCAGAGATCGACGGCGATGGACTTCGCGGGGCCTGCGTCGACGTCGGCGGCGAAATCGGGGAGGAAATCAGACGGGGGATTGGATCCGGTGCTCGGATTTAAGATCACTTTCAGAAGAATCGTGAGTTGTTATGAATATCTCCTCCAGTTCGGGTTTTTGTTGGATTTTTTTCCTTGAAAAGGGAAGTTTTGCGTTTTTGTAGGGCGCTGGGTTGCAAAATCTTGGAAATACTTGCTTTCTTAATTCAGTTCTGCAATGCCTGACTTATACTGAGCCTTTTGCGGCGTATTGTCACAGTGGAGAGCATAGATCTTCTTGTAAGTTGTAGATCCTCTTTCTCATATCGAAATGATTGTTTTCTGTGATGTTTTTTTTTGTGTAAAGTAGATGTGGGTGGTGTGCATGGTTTAGCTATTTTTGACAGTTTTTCTTCAGTCTTTTTTCCCCTTCTTCTCAAATTTGCTGAAGAATGGATTGTTATATGGTGAAACTAAGGAAAGGATTGTAAAGAAAAAACTGTATTGGCGTCAAGTGTTGGAGACAATTTAGATTTTAGATGATCTGGGCTGTATTTATGTTGGTTGCAGGGAATCTAGATTCTTGTGTTTAAGAATATGATGAATGCATCTTTCCCCACTATATAGTAGAACTAGTTAGATGATATGGAAGCTTGTTTTATGGAAAGAGAACGGACCCGGATGGAAAGTGAGGGCAAGGTTCATTGTCATTGGCGATCACAATTGTCTTCATGAAGGGAAGATGAACCTGATAGTTGCTTGATCAATGCCTGCCATGAGAGGAAGGTTTTAGGAAATAACAAACCCCAGTCGTTTTGGTTTTGTTAATTGGGAATCCTGTTCCAAAATTCCACACAGGTGTTGCCTATGGTAAATCACCAAATTTCTGACTTCAGTGGTTCAAAATTATATGTATAATAGGCACTTTTTCATTCCTTTTAAGCAAATATCCTTAAGGGGTCACATTACAGACACTCTTGATTTGTAGGTTGTGGAGAGACCCTCTAATTTGAGAAAGAAAGAAAGTTCTCTAAGCTAAACTATGATCTTATCTGGGGTATATGTTTATTCCTTTTCTTCTTTAACCTTTGTGAACTTAGACTCATTTGATCTTTTAGGACTACTAATATGTTTCGCGCTATTTATGTTATTTTTTAAAATGAATGTGGATGTGGTTGTGGTGTGGCTGTGGATAGTTGGGCACACACATGTGGGCACACACTCGTGTGATCATTATTGGCTAAACCTGTAACCTCTACTAGGCCATAGTCTGCTGGTGAGGGTCTTGCTAGGAACCTCAGACTAACTATAAACGAGACTTCTGTCATGTTATTGCACTTGTGATTAAAACTGGATTGAAATCAGAGATAAGGCTGCAATAATAAAATCCTTAAGCTAAGTAAACTCAAGCTCAATTGTAATACACAGACACACTTGCGCATGTGAATATATGTATGCATGCAATATCCTGATTTCATTTAATTCGGACCTAAAGAGATGAATTTCTACCTATTTACTAAAACTTAAGTTACAAGCTAAGGTGGCTGATCCCGAGCATGTTTCAATTGTATGTTTTCATTTGTCTCCACATCATAAGTACATAGAAGCAGAAGTTTGCTACTACTAGCTGGCCATTTCACAAGTGGAAACACTCATTGTAAGTGTTTTGGTGGTTTCCCAAACAAATAAGATTCTTGTGTAGATGAGGAGAATAGATCTCTAATTTGATGAATTACTTTATTTGAAGGCATACAATATGCATTAGACCCAAGTATACAATATTTGCTAGAGCCCAGTATAAAGTATCTAGCCACATTTGTTGAAGAATACTTTTGGAGTGTAGAATACTGTCACCACTTTTCATTTAGTAGTTTGATTGAGTTTTTGGCTCTTTAGCTTCATCTTTCATGTGGAAGGAAGCATTGCTGCTTTGTTGCAGTGAATAAAAACTATTTTGGTAAAAGCAGGTCGTCGTCATGCATGCTATACACCTTACTGCCGTTGTTTTTGTTTGTTCAATATGCAGCTAACTTCAGCTTTATATCTTTTTTTGCCCCTTATGAAGGTCGTACTGCAGGATTCTGTGCAATGTGCGCTCTTCAAAACCATGTCATGAATGCTCTACAGTCAACGGGGAAAATTCTTTCACCTTCTCATCTTGTGAAAAATTTGCGATGTATGCTAATTTACTTCTGTAATTTCAATTTCGAGGAGAATTTTTTTTTCACAAGCTAGCCTTTTAGTTCACTCTCCATTTGTTTCCATCGTAAATTAAATGGCAGACATGGTCGATATGATATTGAACGTCCTCATAACTTGATTAGGTATATCTCGCAATTTTCGCAATTCAAGACAAGAAGATGCTCATGAGTATATGGTGAACTTGCTTGAATCAATGCACAAATGTTGTTTACCTTCTGGTGTCCCAACTGAATCTCCTAGTGCTTATGAGAAAAGTTTAGTCCACAAGATATTTGGTGGTCGGCTTAGGAGCCAGGTATTTTCTACAGCTAACTCCTTGTTAATTATGGAAAGTTTTTTTTGGCAATGTCATTTATCTTATTTTACTACAGGTGAGGTGCTTGCAATGCAACTATTGCTCAAACAAATTTGATCCCTTCTTGGATTTGAGTTTGGAAATTCTGAAAGCTGATTCTTTAACGAGGGCACTCATGCATTTCACTGCTAAGGAGCAGTTAGATGGGGGTGAAAAGCAATATCAATGTCAACGCTGCAAACAGAAGGTTAGAGCGAGTAAACAGCTTACTGTTCATAAGGCTCCATATGTCCTTACCATTCATCTCAAGCGATTTGGTCCTGATGTTCTTGGACAAAAGATTGATAAGAAAGTGGGTTTTGAGCCTAGTTTGGATTTAAAACCCTTTGTCAGTGACCCACAGGTAAGTAATACCCATATAGAGATGGTATTTCCTTTTTCTGCCAGGGTAGCTCTAATTATTTTCTTCTAATTTTTTATTTTGTCATGTTTTGCAGGAAGCAGATTTGAAATACACACTTTATGGAGTTTTGGTACATGCTGGCTGGAGCACTCACTCGGGTCACTACTACTGTTTTGTACGCACGTCTAGCGGCATGTGGCATTCTCTTGATGATAACCAGGTTGGTATTCCATTTTCCTTTGATCTTTAGCTCCTTCATATCTATGTAAATCTACAGTAGAATCTGTGTTAGAATAACTTTATATGGTGGTTCAGTTGGAGGTGTCTCTAGGCAACTTTAGCCACTAAATTCCATCCAGGCTCCTAAAGTTTCATAGCTTCTTCGGAAATATGAGATGGAAGTAAGGAAATCGGAGTGATGTTATTTAGTAAATTATTATCCCTTTCAGTGCAGAAGATTACAATAAATAAATAAGTTAACAAAACTGTTAATCTAATGTCCTTGAATTTCTTTCTTGCATAGAAGGGAAGGAACAAAATGTGTTCAGCGTACATCAAGTGCATTATATTGAAAAGTTATAATGTAAAAGGTTGTCTTGTAATTGTGAGCATTTTATGTCCTTAACTTATTGATTTATTGCTTATTGTGCTGAATCATGTCATATAAATTGCTCTATGTACAGATAGTATTTCCTTTACCTTTTGATTTTGGTAAGGAACTAAAAGGTCCCATGCTTGGCTTCCGATTCAAATTGGATTGTGATTGGAATAATTTTGAATATACTGGTGCTTATGATGGAAGGGAGTACTTAAAGTTTAGACTTCTGAAATATGGAGTAGGATAAAGATTATTAGTCTGGCCTCAGATAATAATCTTAATACAGGAGGTGGATAAAAATTGGAAAAAGTTTAGCTCACATAGCACATCCACTGAACATTTATGTCTTAATTGGAAATTAGTTTTCTGGTTATTGGGAGCAAGAAGGGGTAGAAACTTAAGGCAATTATGAAAGAAAGAAGATGATCAGCTTGAGCTAACTATTAGAAATATTATTTTTCTCTAAAATCTTGCCCATGAATCAGCACAAGATAACCACTGAGTGTAAAATTAGTTGGAAGACATTGTGCTAGTTGTTGAAGAAAGTAGAAAAAGAGATGAAATGAGAACAAAAGGGTACAAAAAATAGGCACAAATGTTATTGGAACAATGAAGCAGCTCCAATGGAAGCTTGTTTTGTGCAACTCATTTTTAATATAATTCTGTCCTATTCTCGGCTGATTTTGTCGAACATATTGCAGGTACGACCAGTTAGTGAGAAGACTGTACTAGGTCAGAAGGCATATATGCTTTTTTATGTCCGGGATAGAAGTTCAGCAGTTAAAAGATCAGCTGATTTTTCTCAGAAAGAGAATATGCTGTCAAGTGCCCTTGGGAGTAAAGTGATTTGTAGACCTCCCTTTACAAATGGAGCAATGCAGAATTCGGAAAGAAACTTAAGTATTTCTACATGCAGCTCTACCAAATTTAAAACTGATGATACCTCTCATGGAAGCACTACACAAAAGGAATCTCCAACCTCACAAAATAATGGTCAGGCCACAGTAAGACAAGATACTTGTTTGGAAGCAAACTGTGAAGTTTCTTCTGATCAATTGCAGTTAAAGGATTCTGTAAAATTGGAAAATCCCTTAACACAGATGCCACCTGTTACAACGTCTAGTCAAAATAAACAGGCAACTAATGAATCAACTCATCCATCTGATTCGAAAGACAATGGTATCATCACTACATCTCATTCAACTGGTTCCTCCTTTACAAGGGAAAGTCAACAAGTTGCCCAAGAAAAATCTGGACTTAACAGTGGCTGCAATAGGAAAGTGGTATTGTCAGTTCTTGCTGCTCAGCCAACCAGCAATCTTCTCAGCCAGGATGGCCTCCATGTACTATTTGATTCTCTTGACCTTCAATGTTACTTGATTTAATCATATTAATACATTTTATTTACTGATTTCTACCTGGCAGAATGATGGGACCATAAACGCTATCTCTCAGAATAATGATAACCCTTGCAAGATGGAAATTGATCGTGCCTCTGCCAACAAGAAGTCAAAAACTGTTTGTAAGCAGTTGGCCGGTATTAAAGGAAACATTAAAAAGGAACACTTCAATGAAAAATCTGCTGCACATCAGGTAGTGGTTTGTTATCATGTTTGTTACAAGGTGTTTTTCCCTTTGTGTAAACCGCATCAATATATTTTACTACCGTTACTACTACTTATATTTTTATTATTATCCAATGTGTTAATAGTCCATCCAGAAAACTGTTCCTGAGGGTGACAACTGCATGAGTACCCAGAGAACTGGAAAAAGACTGCTAGAAACAGACGAATGTGGATTAAATACTTCAATAAAGATGAATGTTGCAAATGGTCATCTGCAACAAAAAGCTGTTGCAGTAGAAAGAGAAAAGTCAGCTGGTGATAGCTCTGAGACAAAGTTGCAGAGGAAAAAACCTGGAAGATCACTCCTAAATGGCCAGCATTTTGGACGAAGAAAACTATTTCTCACATCCTTATATGTACATAAGAAGAAGCACAAGAGAAGTAAAAAACACCGTCTAAATTCTAAGAACACGATGAAAGATCTAGAGGATCTCCATGCAGATGATCAGGGGGTATCAACATCTAAGGCCACTAAGGTGGTTGATGGAGCTTCTACAGGCTCCTCCAAGAAGCGGCCTCATTCCAGAGTAATTACAGAGAACAAAGTTCTAGGAGCAAACAATGCTGAATTTTTCAGTGGTGATTTTGTGCATATCAGAAATTTAGATGAAAGCATGAAAAATGATACCAATATAGATGATCAGGGGGTGTCGATGTCCGAAAGCAATAAGGTGTTTGATGTAGCTTCTGCAGACTCTTCCAAAAGGAGCTCTGGTTCCCGATCAAACAAAAAAGAAAATGTTGAGGGATTGAATAGTGGGAAAAATTGCAATGCTTACTTTGTGCATAATAGAAATTCAGATAGAAGTAGTAAATTTGATATCGTGCTTGCTGCATCAGACCAATCCACAACACCTCTCAACTCTACTGGACATCAGTGTGAAGGGAGGGAGGCAGATGCCTATGGTAAAGCTCCAGTCCAGAAAGGCGTTGTGAGTCTGTTGACGAGCTTAAAAGAGCCCACTGGTAGGTTGCCATATTTATGTTATCAGCCCTTCCGGCCTTGTTTCCATATGTGAAGGTTTTTATTTCCTGTCTTATTGCTACTTTTAAATTTGTATATCATGGGGGGTCCATTTTGTTGCATGCAGTTCCTCGGTGGGATGATGCAGAATTGCCATCATCTCAATCACATGACTTGGACAATGCACATGGAAGCAACATCGGTTATATTCTTGACGAGTGGTATGTTTCATTTCATCAAATATATTTTTACATAATTTTATTCTGGTTGGTTTTAGAATTATAGTTTTTTTTCCTGATTTTTAAGTTTAAACTGCTAGTAATAAAAAAATCTGACAGAAGTCCTTGAAAAAACATTTGTGGTTATTCTCTCTAGTAATGTTATGAATTACTATTATAATGGATGGTAATCAGAAAGCATGATTGGATAAAGGAAGTCTAAGCCCATCCTTCTGGATTGTTAATTTATTTATTTTGGTTTCGGTAGATGGAAGGAGGATTACCCCTTCTGACAAAAATGTACCAATTCTTTCCAAATTGACCCGGCACTGGAGAACGCTGGCATGTCAGTGTTAGAACAATAGATTGGGTGAACATTGCTGTCCTCATCAGGCAGAAAATCTGGTGGGCCATTGCCTTCTCTAAAAAATATAGCCGAATTGCATGTCCTCCACCAGACTGGCCCAGTATGCAATGTCCTTAAAAACCTTTTTTAGTTCCCACATATTGGATTTGATCCAGCTTTTCCCAATTGATAGTCATCATGGAGCCCCCTATTGCTAGGATTTTGTAGCTTGCAAAGTGTTACAGTGTAATGTGAATAAAATTAGCGCAAAGCTCCACCACTGGTACCTGTAAATTATGAAAAGAGGAACTCTCTGCATGATGTTAATGTTCCATGTGATCTGACCAAGAAAACCAATACGATGTCTCGAATATTATTTCATGGGTTTGAATATTTTTTTTTGACAATTTGGTCATGTAACTTTTAAGGATTTAGATGTTTTGATTGGTAAGAGAATATATGAGCCATCAGACAATCTTTTGTGTAATCTGCTGGCTATCTAAGACAAAACCCCATTGTTTATCACACCTCCCTTTTATGAAGGCTCGGGATACAAAGGGCATTGTACATAATAGAGTAGAGCGAAAGGGATTATATATTGAATATATAATAAGTATTATTTAGTTAAGAATGTAAAATAAAGGGCAATTTATGTGTCTATTAAGGGAGATACTGATTGAGTGCTTCCTTGAACCTACCATTTAAATTAGGTCTGTTTTCATTTTCCCTATTTACTTGAATTACATTTGGATATTTTAATCCTATATGGGGTTTGGATACACGAAAGTATTAATGTGTTCTGGGTTCGTCACTTTGGTATTTTACTCCTTAGTGCAGTTTAGATGAGCCCCAAAGAATTAGCTTGATGCTATGAGTTCACGAGGAACTTTCTCTTCGTCACAGGTTGATGGATCTTCTCCCTGTAATCTTTCAAAGAAATATTCTAGAATTTGATTCAATATAAAATGTTCTGGATTTAGAATTTATGAAGGCTAGCGAAATCCATTTAATATGGATAATATAATTAGGTCTATTAGTGAATGATGAATTTTAATGGTATGGATTGAAAAATTAAATGTCAACTTGCGATTCTTGATGTGATAATTGACCTTGGATAAAAGAGTCCCTAATGTTGTTTGGTCAATTGTACTACTGTAATGAGTAATACCAGGTATATGAAGGGGTGTTGATCCAATATGGTTCCTATTCAATGAGAAAATGATTAGAGCTGTATATCTTTCATCTCCAGATTGACATTGGATGGGAGACTTATTGATTTTATTAGGCTAATGAACAACACAGTGAGTAATGTATATGCAAACTTGCAAAGGAAGCGTAGCAATCTCATATCTGATCCTAGTTCAATAGAAACTTTAATTAAACGATGTAATCATCTTTTAATTTGGCCGCAGGGATGATGTGGGTCATGTTGGAATAGAGTTTTTTGCAATGTCCTACAGTGACTATGGTACCTGCCTATGCACAGGCAAGGCCAAAGCCATCACGACTGGAGGTTAAGCATCCATATGAGATGCTTACTTTAAACAATGGAGAACCTTTCCCCAAACTCATCTCCGACCATGAATGCTACTTTGTTGCCTCACTGCTGCCATTTTGGTCAGGAGGGAGGAATCACTTCATATAGATGAGTCAAGCCCCACTTCATATTGTAGATGAATTAAGCCCCAACCGATTTATTCGAAGTTGTACGTACATATAGATGGGTTTGGGATCAATGCCCTCAGGCTATTTTATCTGGGTACTTCTAATATGGAGCAGTACCTGTACCTGTACCCATACCCAAACTCCTTGGACGCTCCTTGCATTTACTCATGCATGTAATAAATTATACCATATATGTTTTAATTTAAAATACTTGTCATACATTTTTGGACATATATCCTACACTTGACATCCACTTCTAGAAACTTGTTAGATGTAAATCAGGCTTGTTGAGACTCATTGGACATAGATTGGGTTCTGATTATAATTTTGAAGAGTTGTTTGAATGTCTAGGTCAAAAACTAGTAATTTCCTAATTTATAATTCACATAATAAAAGAAACATAAAAATGTTATACGAATTTTAATTCTCATCCTTGTTCTCGTGTAAATTATTAATTCCAATATATAATATATGTGTATATAAATATTTATATAGCCAAATAGCCATGTTCTCATCCCCTTCCTTTTACAAATTTGCTGTTCTCGTACCCATACTCATACCCGAACCTGTACCCATGCAACATAGTCCTCAGGAAAAGCTAGCAATAACCTAAGGGTACAGTTAAAGTCCCAACTTTTGTTTAACTTAAAATTAGGGGAAGACTTTTTTTCGCCTAGGCAAATGCCGGTCTAGCTTTTTAAGAGGCCACATAGCTTGCAGCAGCATTGCTTTCATGTGAGCTTGGTGTTTTATTTCCATTACTGTCGTTGGAATTTATTTTCTTTGTATCTTTTAGATTGGAATTATTTCTTCAATCATCTATGTAGTATCTGGTATGATTCGTACTTGCCGTACACTAATGAATTAAACCTATTTCTCCAAATTTTCTATTTATAATCTACTCAATAAAAGAGACATAAAAATATCATGGGGAAACTTTAGTAGCTTAACAATTGAATGAAAAACAATATCAATCTCATATAAATTACTAATTTCGATATGTGTATATATATAGCAGTGTCCCTGCATCCTACATTTTATAAATTTGGCAATTTGCCGTGTCCCATATCTGCACCCGTATTCATATCCGCACCCCCACCCGTACTCGTGCAACATAGAGTGGTACATTCTCGAGGAATCATCTCTCTCTCTAATGTTTGTGTTTGAATGCTTTGGAGGGAAGATATTCTCAACACGTAATGGCATTTTAAATACAAATCTGTTGTATCAATAAAAGGAAAATACAAATCTGTTGAAGTTAGAAAATTCAAAATTCCCTCACTAGTCACTATAAAGTAGCTAGAGCAGTAAAATTTGTTTTACAAGTAAATGAGAAATCATAGCCTAATTTCTTTTTGTTGCATGATAGAAACTACGCTTGTTTCTGAAAGCAGAAGTATTTAAATATAATATTAATTTCTGAAAGAATGTTTGTTCATGTGCTCAGGGATGAGGAATATGATCGAGGGAGGAGGAAGAAGGTGAAGAAATCCACCCGCACTTTTGGCGGACCAAACCCGTTCCAAGAGATTGCCAACATAAAATTAAAGCAGCATAATATGCAGTCGAAGAGATATGGGAATCAACCGTTGAGGATATGATGGCGAAATAAACTATCTTGTGTTGTAACCATTTTGTCTTGAATAATAATTATTATTTCATGTTTATTTATGTCGTCCCCCCTTTGTTTCCTCTTTCCCACCAAGTTTTGTTCTAGATTTCTTGAGTTTTATGATCCTTGAAATATATCCTGATTATTTGAGAGTACTTGTGTAACTAAGAACAAGTCTGAACTTTTTATGATAATTATGTTGGCAGCTAATCCGGTGTGTGATGGCATATCATGAGTAATATAGCAGATGAAAGTTCAAGCTACTTAGCAGTAAAGTGAGTGCGGAAGAAATCTACGCAAGTTAGAGAAATCTGCAATTGTGATTCAATCAATAAAGCGATGGAGCATTCATTTGTTTACAATGACAAAACCTTGTTGATCTTGATGTGGATTATGAGTTGCCGAATTTAGATTTGGACGTCCACTGATTCAAACCTAAGTTTGGAGATCTAAATTGAAAATTCATACCATTGTATACAATATTGTTATGATAAATCATATTATAACATCAATAATTCTTTGAAGTTATTTTTTAATTTTATTAGATCTTGGATCCCGATCTGTATATGTTTATAGTTTTCTGTGAAGAGTGTACCAATTTATTTTCAGATATACCAATTTACTGATAAGGTTTCCTCCTGATAATTCATAATATTCATTCCATCTACATGTCATGAAACACGCAAAATCACAATTTTATGCAATTTGAAACTTAAATCATCTGTCAAATAGCTTTTTTCAATGCTAAAGTCCTGGTGAATTAGACAAACAAGTTAGATGTCATTGAAATGTATACTAAATAACATGTTAATCAATGTTATAGATCATGCATGCATCTAGAAATCCGTCATGCAGTTTTTCACATAAGAAACATGTTTGAAGTTTGTCCTAAATGAAGTAAGTTCAATGTGGAACAATTATGCGTTAGCTGAGATAAATTTCACAATTAATTATTAATGGAAAAAAACTTCTCCATCTTTGTGCAATGCTTATGTCTTTCACAAATAAAAAATACTTTGCATTAACTAAGTTAAATTTCATCATTAATAATTAATGAAGGAACTTCTCCATCTTTATCCATGCATATGCCTTTCACAAATTAAAAAAATACAACAGTTTTCTAACAGGTGCTCATGGACGGTCATTAGGGAATTAGAGAGCTAGATAGAAATAAATAGCAAATGGATCATTCCTAGTTTGCATTAATTTCTCTATTCCTCTCTCTATCTCTCTCATCTCCTAACGAGTGCTCACGAGCACTCGTTAGAAAATCTTGTCCCATGAGCACCCACGAGCACTTGTTAGAAAAAAAATAAAATTTTTTTTATGGACTTCACGTGTCAGAAAATCTTGTCCCATGAGCATTAAACCAAATATATTTCAAATTCAAAATTGTTGCAAATGCTAAAACCTATGAATTCAGATCAACCCACAACGTCCCAACCATTGTTTCCATGTAGCAATGATTGGTGAGCTTGGGTTGGATGATGAACGCTCGTTTTGTTGGTAGGCATTAATGAACTTGTCATTTAATCATATATTGCATACATCATTATTATTCAAGTACGAATCTATATATATAATCCTACTAATTTATTGCTCTCATTGAATGCTTCACGCATCGCTTGTGATTCTTTGAAGCACATTACTCTCGAGCGCCCACAAACAATGTCCCTGGAAGCCAGCTAACTCGCAGTTCTCTCGAGCTCACGATGCAATCAAGAGCGAAGTTCCTCAAAATTTCAAATGAAGCACGTAGGGTTCTTAAATCTAATTAAGAAGATTTTATTTGAGTAAGTATATACAATGATTTTGATTCATTTTCTTAATAGTGTGTCAAGGACAACATACAAATCTCATCGGAACATTCCACATGTAAATAAAGTATTATGAACAAAGAAAACGAGAGTTGAAGTCTCCAAATTGTCTATTACTCTCTCAGTGGTTAACTTAAAACACCTTGTCCACATGCAAATTTATACTTTGAAAAGGCATATCTATTATAATTTATTTGACATGGATATTTGTACAATTATATAATGATAAACATTCATCTGATGCACTATTAAGTAATTTATAATTAGGGCCGGCTGAAGGCCCTAATATATATATATATATATATATATTATATATATATATATATATATATAATATATATATATATATATAATTTATACTTTGAAAAGGCATATCATTATAATTTATTTGACATGATATTTGTACAATTATATAAAGTGCACCAGACGGAATGTTTATCATTATATAATTGTACAAATATCCATGTCAAATAAATTATAATAGATATGCTTTTCAAAGTATATATATATATATATATATATATATATATATATATATAATATATATATATATTATATATATATATATATATATATATATATATATATATACTTTGAAAAGGCATATCTATTATAATTTATTTGACATGGATATTTGTACAATTATATAATGATAAACATTCGATTCGTCTGGTGCTCTATTAAGTAATTTATAATTAGGGCCGGCTGAAGGCCATATATATATATATATATATATATATATAATATATATATATATATAATTATATATATATAATATATATATATAAATTTATACTTTGAAAAGGCATATCTATTATAATTTATTTGACATGGATATTTGTACAATTATATAATATGTGCACCCAGACGAATGTTTATCATTTATATAATGTACAAATATCCATGTCAAATAAATTATAATAGATATGCCTTTTCAAAGTATATATATATATATATATATATATATATATATATATATATAATATATATATATATATATATATATATATATATATATATATATAATATATATAATATAATATATACTTTGAAAAGGCATATCTATTATAGTTTATTTGACATGGATATTTGTACAATTATATAATGATAAACACTTCGATTCGTCCTGTGCTGCTATTAAGTAATTTATAATTAGGGCCGGCTGAAGGCCATATATATATATAATATATATATATAATATATATAATATAATATATGTGTGTGTGTGTGTGTGTGTGTGTATTTACATATATATGTATATACATAAGTGTGTGTATATATATATATATGTACACACACACACACACATATATATATATATATAGCTCACGATTTTGTTCTGTATTTTGTGTTTTTCTTTTTTTTCTTTTATATCTTTTATTCAACTAAATTGATTAGATTTTAATCCTTACATGATGTTTTTAATTTGGGCCAATTATTCTCCTAGATGCTCATTCTAATTAATCTAAATAAAAGTTAATATTTGTTTGTTCTTTTATCATATTCATGCATGTAACAGTGTCAGACTTTAAAGTATCATCAAATTGAAAGTCGTCTTGAAAGTGTTAAAGCAATAAAAAGGAGAGACTTTAGGGGGCAGTTATACCCCTAAATGCCCTATAAATAGCTGAAAGATCAGTTTACATCAACTAGCAGAAGCTAGTGATGATCCTAAAACAAAAAGTGAAGCAATTTCTTTAGCAACATATGAAATTGAAAATTTTGAATTTTTATTAGGTATGATTATTTGGTATGATATATTGTTTGCAGTTAACACTGTTAGTAAATTTTTACAATATAAAGATATGAATATTGCCATTGCATTAGATCATCTAAAAGGTCTTGTTTCATTTTTTAATGACTATAGAGAAAATGGGCTCACATCTGCTATGGTTTGTGCTAAAGAGATTGCCAATGAAATACATGTAGAACCAAAATTTCGTGGAAAACGTGTAATTAGAAGAAAGAAAAAAAATTGATGAGAATGAAACTAATGAGGTGAGACTTTCACCTGAATAATCTTTTAAAATTAATTATTTCAACTATATAGTTGATCATGCCATTTCTTCACTTCAAATTAGGTTTGAACAGTTTAAGATATATGAAGATAATTTTGGTTTTTTGTATGATGTAGAAAAATTAAAATTGTTTGGTGATGATTTTCTAAAAGAAAAATGTTTGCATCTTGAATTTTTTTTAAAACATGACATGTTATCTAATATTGATGGTTTAGATTTATTTTCAGAACTAAAGTTTTGAAAGAAATAATAAATCCTGAATTAAAAACAACACTTGAGATACTAAACATTATAAAAAAATTAAATTATTTTCCCAATGCATGGATAGCTTATAGAATACTACTGACAATACCTGTTAGTATAGCTTCAGCAGTAAGAAGTTTTTCAAAATTAAAATTAATAAAATCTTATTTACGCTCAACAATGTCTCAAGAAAGATTAAATAATTTAGCAATTTTATCAATTGAAAAGGATTTATTATCAAAGCTTGAATATAAAAATTTAATTAGTAACTTTGCATCTCAAAAAGCCAGAAAATTAAATTTTATATAAAATCTATTTTTTAAAAACTTATTATTTAAAAAAAAATATTAAGGCCCCAAATATTTTTCTCTACCTAGAACCTCAAAAATGCTTGAGACAGCACTAAGTACTTATAGATGTCTGTTTAGTGCATTTTCACATTTTTAGATAGGTTGCATATAATAACATTATATTGTGTTAGAATTTGCGTATGTAACACAATGTCAACATGCTAACCTTCTACGGGTATTTTCACTGTAAAATCCAGGTGGTCCATCGGAGCATGATGTCTTACAATGGCCTCTTCACTCTACAGGTATTTTCACTGTAAAATCCTTTTACACTTTTGTAACTTCAGGGGGTCAAAAATCCCAGTTCTTCAACATGATTTGGAAATCCAACATTCCCTTAAAGGTAAAAGTCCACCTCTGGATTATTTCGAAAAGGAAGCTTAATACAAGAGACAATTTAACCAAAAAAGGATGGATCGGTGACCCTCATTGCCCTTTTTGTCTTGGGGCAACAGAAACCCATGATCATTTATTTATTCACTGCCCTTTCGCTCGTGATGTTTGGAATTCCCTTCTCCCCCTCTTTCCAGCTAACAGCTGGCCATCAAACATGGAAGATCTGCTGCTGCTCCATAAAGCTCCCAATATTTGTTTAGACATTAAAGTCATATGGAAGATTCTATTGCCATGTTTTTGTTGGAGGATCTGGTTTTGTAGAAATTCACTCATTTTCAAGGATATCCAGCCCATCCCGCTTCAAACTGCTACTAATATAGCGAGGTTTTCCATTTTCTGGACAGGTACAGGAGATGATAGGATGGGGAGGAGGCTTCGAAGGGCATCCCTCAATCTCGGACTGCAGGAGCTAGCTAAGAAGAACACACCTACTGATGCTGGGGACAATTTTTCCAGCAACTAAGCTCCTATGTCTCTTGTCCCAACATGAAGAAGAAGTTTCTGATCAGTGAAGATGCCCACTTTTTGGTTAGCAGCTAGCAGTACCTAGCTTTGTCTAGTCATTATACATACTGTGTGGTTGTTTTTTAATCCCTTTGTTGTTCTAGCTGAAGTACTTCTATCTAGTTGTAGGGGACAGTAGGTCAAGTGTGGTAGGTGACGACAATGGTCCGCTCCCTACTCACTTCTCCTATTGCGCTCTCTCCACCTAGTGCTGTTGTAAACTCCTCTTCTGATACTTTTGCAATATATTTAAATGAACAGGGCTTTACACCCTGTTTCTCAGGCTCAAAAAAAAAAACATGCCAACCTTCTCCTATGCGCTCTAGCTATCACATACTCCATAAACGTATAAAAGGACAACATGGATCAAGAAGAAAAACTATACCCATTTTCACTTTCCACCCCTTGACCTCAGTTCAGACCTTCAAAAAGTGTTGGGAGTATTATAACTTGTCTATCTTCTAATCCATAAATTAAGTTTCTAAGTAAAACATACAGTTTCTTACACTGCATCAAAATCATTCAAATTCAAATTTAATCGAGACAACAAGATTAAAAAGTAGGATCATATTAAACTTTAGCATCGAAAAAGGATACAATAGTGGAACGTTAAGAACTATTTTATCGCAAAAACTTAAATTACTTATAAATCCATATTTGATCTTTTGAGCAAAGTGGTTAGTTGACAAAACATGACATATAATCCCTAAAATTTGCTCACAAAAATATTAGACTCTTAAAAAGGACATTGCACTTTATTTTCTGTTTCATAATCTTTTTTTGTTAATTTAAATTCTCCATGATATTGCCAAGTATTAGGGATCAAAAGCCCGATTCAAATTTTTAACAAGGACTGATGGGTGACCTCAGTCTGATGTTCCCTTGAAAAAAGGCAGCAGAGCAGATGTTGGCAGTGGGGCCTACTCTAGCACCCCTATATATACACTCGTTGATTTGCAAGACAAATTGTTAGCAAAAGTGCAAAATAATAATAAGATACAAAGGAGAGAGATGGATGGGAGCAGAAATAGGAGAAAAATGAGGGAGCTGGTAGTAAGTTTACCACCACCAGCCTCTGCCTCAGCCTCCAATTCCACCACCCCAAGGGCTCTGCTGAGGAGCCTGGTGAGGTTACCGAAGTATTGCATAAGGAAAGGGAACAAAAAGGGAGAATGTGGGAGTGAGAGAGGAGAAGAGGACCAAGAGATTGTATTAGTTCAAGAGCAGAGTGCTACTACGGAGGAGGAGCGAGAGGCTGTAGTCTCTTCGGGTGAGAAAATTTTTTATGCTATTTTTTTTAAAAAATCTTGGGCGTTTTAATTTAGATTTTGCATATGGGTATTGTTAGTTATTATTATTATTATATATTTCGATTGATGAGAAAGGGTGAAGAATGTTGGTTTGTTCAATGCATTTAAGGGCACGAAAGGATTTGACATGGATCACATATGATACTTATCACATCTGTATTTGCTTACTAGTCACATATAAAAATACACGTGTGAACATGATTCAGCGGGAAAACTCATAGTTTATGTCCACTAAAATCGAATACAAATACAGACTGGATAAGAGGAAAACATATACAAATAAAAACATATATCTTTTTACATTGTCATTTGAGACCTAATTTGATCTGAAAAATCCCCTAATGGCACTGCTGCGCATGAAAGTAATCATGCCTAGTAAACCATGGAGTCTCGGTTGGTTTAGTTTAAACCCACAATTATGTGCCAGAATCTCCAATATCTCTGGGCTCGAAAGGTCATAATCATTCTCCCAACACTATCTGGCTTCTATGATATGCGAGACGTATTTATCATGTCAAGAACCACTCTATTCAATTAACTTGTTGGATTTTTGGTTAACAGTGTATATCAAGCTAACGTTAATTATTATCAGGTTGATTGTCGGATATGCCTTGTTTGTCTGCTTAGTTACGTGTACATTCTTAAATATGCTCATATCTGAAATTGTACGGATAATGCATACCAACTTTAATGGCAATAAATAAATTTAGCACTAATTGCACGTAGACCCATGTAGTATCTCTGTTTGAACTTATTATCCCTGTAGTTTCATTGTTGAATTTTTTTGACTCTATTACCTTTGGTGAAATTTTGACCGATATTGCTCCTATTTGAAATTAGTGAGTCTTTCTGACGGTTTAAAGAGTCAGAAAATTTAGGCCGGGGGTCTATCTACAGCAATGAAACTACAAGGGCAGAAAGTTTAGTGAACTGTTACTACAGGGAGTCTATGTGCAATTAACCCTTAAATCTATTAGATATAAATTTGTTGTTATTAAACCGTACAAATGGAGAAAACTTGAAATTTTATTTTATGTAAGGAAAATTTCTATAATTTTTTCCCGCATTTATCTAAAATCTCCGTTATTTTCAGGGATTAGAACTGAACCCGTGTCTTTCAACCAAGGAATCGGAATGGGTTTAGTCTTCCTCATGGTAAACAGTGCATCTGAATTCAATAAAATGAAGGAGCTGCGTAAACAAATGGAAGTTCTTCTTAAAGAAATTAAGGGCGAGATGCGAAGAAAAAATGAAGCTTCTAGCTATTCAGTATCACATAATTACACCGTCCTTTCTGCTTCACATTGCTGGGGTGATGAAATCACGAGCAATCCTATTTCCTCCCAAGATGCTGCTTACTCTGATGAAAAATGTGCCTGTGAAACAAATTATGAGAAAAGTCGGTGCCTGAAAATAAATCAGCTGGAGGAAGAGCTAGAGGTCGAACTAGAACGTTTGCAGAGGAAAACGGAAGAAGGTTCATCTGTGCTTACACGAGAACAAAATATCGAGGTATTCGATCTTCTTCTTGGTAGGAGCTCTATTTTCTTTCCAAGTCGTACAACCTTAATGGAAGTAAAATGCGTCCCATATGCGGCTAATGAATGTGCATGTTTTTTGGTAAACATGTTTAAGATACTTTGCTGAAACAAGTCTAGCTATGTAGTGACTCATGAACTTTTGGGGGTGAATATGTTATTCACGACCTCTTTTTTAGCTGAGGATCTCTTATTTTTGGACCAAACACAGTATT